AAAAAAAAAAAAAAAAGTGGGGGGATTGATAGTTACAAGGGTTTGACAGTTACAAGGTCCTTACTGAATTTCAAACACTGTGTTATTCAATTTAGTCTCCAAATACCTCTTCCCCTTTCTAGGGAAAAAAAAGAGCCAGAAGTTGGGAAACAATATTTATTATAGACTGTATTAGATGCTTTTCTTGCATTATTTCATCTGCCAATTACGAGATGTCTCTAAAGCTAGGCACTGATGCCTCATGCCTGTAATCCTATCTACTCAAGAGGCTGAAACCTGAAGATCAAGGTTCAAAGCCAGCCTGGTCAGAAAAGCCCTTGAGACTCTTTTATCCAATTAATGAGCACAACAGATGAAATGAAAGTGTAGCTGAAGTGGTAAAGCACCAACCAGTCTATGAACAAAAGAAGTTGAGTTCAAACACCCCTTCACCCCCCAAAAATGTGGCAAGGCACTTTTCTAAATGACAGGACTAATTATAAAGCCAGACCTTCTAAAGTACTGTGTTGCAGCTGAAGTGAACAATTTTTGTGTCTTGAGGATGGAGGATCATACAAAATTCCAAACTTTCCTTTAGTTTCCCCCCCACAATTCTCCCTGGACTTTTTCAGTTTTGTTCAGACTAAATATTACAGTGTGCCCACAACAAAACCACTTTACAACTTTTAAGGGCTAAAAAGCTTTCATTTCTCTTCTTCCAGACCAACCACTAGAGGGCCAGGGCCATGATCTCTGTGATCTTCTCTAAGTTATTTTCTCTCTAAACCTCAGTTTTCCAATCTGTAGAATAGGAATGACAATAGTATCTATGTACTAGGTTGTACAAATCAAGTAAAACAGGACCTGTAAAGCAGTCAAAACAATGCCTGCATGGTAAACTTAGCCCTTCTTACTTCTGCAGAGAAATTGCCATGGCTGGTTTGGCTTCTAAATCCGAAGTCTTCACCCATCACATTCTCTAGAAGCTGAGAGGCTGTAGCCAGCCAAAGTCTCCACAAAAAGATCAACAGGTCTCCTTTCTCCTAATCAGGGCTAGCCTAGAAACCTGGAGTCTCCCACCTGTACTGAGGCCCGGCGGCTTTGGCCTTGGGAATCCTAACTCTCCCAGAGCTGTCACTGAGCCCCAGCAAACCACTCAGCGCGCTCGGGCCCCGGAGTCCCGGCCTTCCGAGGCCCAGGCCTGGCTGTCTGTGATCGCCGGTCCGGAGCTGGCTCAGCCGGGGTCCCCTCGCTAGCAGACTCTACCCCACGTTTCCCTCTAGTCCAGAGGCGCGGCTGCCGACGCCCGGGCGGCGAGGGCGCGCTCGGCGGCGCCGGGCCTCCCCCGCGGCCGGAGCCCGGCCCCAGCCCCGAGCCCACGCAGGCTGCAGCCCAGGCCCCCTGCCTTCCCCGGGGCACACGAAGCCAACACGCGGGGGCTGCGAGCGGGCGCAGGGGCCCTCCGGAGCCGGCTCGGACGCCGGCGCCCCGCGCGGCCCTGGTCCGGCCCCAAACTGGCGTGAGGTACTCAGGCCAGGCGTGGGTCCTCAGACACGTCCCACAGGCCGGCGGCAGCTCCTCACCCAGGCCCCCGCCACCGCGCCCCGGGGCGATTACCTTCCATCGCCCGGCTTCCTCACTTACCCATCGCGGCTCCGCTCGCTGGGACTCGGCGGCGGCGGCGGCGGCGGCGACAGCTTCAGCGGTAGCTCCAGCAGACAATATGGCGGATCCGAAGAACGGGAGCCTCAAAGGGACAAACAGCCCACCTGGTACGAAACGCGTTCTCACCCCCCCCCCCCAGATACTCCGCCCAGAGCACGCCGGAGGCGCGCGCTTAAAGAGACAGCCAGTATAGGTGAAGAGCAAGGTTGGGCGGAGGTGGCTCTCACCTCTAACTACTCCCTGGAGGTAGACCTCTGAGGACCCCGTGAGTGGAAAAAGCCAAGTAAAAGCACAAGGCTTCTGAGCGCTTGGAGGCTCAAGCCTGTAACCCTAGCTACTCCTGAGGCTGAGATCTGAGGATCACGGTTCGAAGCCAGCCTCGGCAAAAAAGTCCCAGTGAGACTCTTATCTCCAATTAACCAACAGAAAACCAAATGTGGAGCTATGGCTTAGGGACAGGGCCCAGGCCTGAGTTCAAGCCCCGGTACTCAGCATAAAAAGGAAAAGCAAACAAAACATGGTTGAAGGGGAAAATAGAATGGATAAATATTAAGGACACCTTAGCACATGGAATTCTCAGCTGTTTCAGCTATTTCCTCCGGAGAGCCCTCCTTCCTCAGAAATGTACTCCTTTCATAACTAAAGCCAATCACAGACTATGAATGTAAATAATAATCTGAAAGGGGAAGTGACTTGCTCAAAGCTATAGAGATAAGGGAAGAAGACAACCTAGGTTTGTTGTTGTTTTTTGGTTGATCTTGGGGCTTGAATTTGGCCTGGGTGCTGTCACTGAACTCTTCAGTTCAGGTAGAGTGCTCTACTACTTGAGTCACAGAGCCACTTCTGGTTTTCTGGTGGTTTATTTATTTGTCGGTTGTGGGGTCTGAACTCAGGGCCTGGACACTGTCCCTCAGCTCTTCAGCTCAAGGCTAGTGCTCCAGCACCAGAGCCACAGCGCCACTTCCAGCTTTTTCTGCTTATGTGGTGCTGAGGAATCAAACCCAGGGCCTAATGAATGCAAGACAAGCACTTTACCAGTAAGCCACCTTCCCAGCCCCTCTGATGGTTTATTGGAGATAAGAGTCTCTCAGGCTTTCCTGTCCAGGCTGGCTTTGAACTACAATCTTCAGATTTCAGCCCCCTGAGTAGCTAGGATTACAGGCATGAGCCACCAGCTTCTAGATTTTTTTTTTTTTTTGTGTGTGTGGTGGGTCCTGAACTTTGGGCCTGGCCGCTGCCCCTCAGCTCTTCAGCTCAAGGCTAGCACTCCACCACTTGAGCCACAGAATCACTTCTGGCTTTTTCTGCTTATGTGGTGCTGAGGAATTGAACCCAGAGCCTCATGCATGCAAGGCAAGCAAGAGTGCTTGCCACCTTGCCACTGAACCGCCTTTCCAGCCCCTGTTGTTGTGTTTTGTTGTTTTTGTTTTTGTCCTGGGGCTTGAACTTAGGGCTTGGGGGCTCTCCCTGAGCCTCTCTACTCTCAAGGCTGAGCCACAGCACCACTTCTGGCTTTTTCTGAGTAGTTTATTGGAGGTCTCACAGACTTTCCTACTCTTAGAACTGTGATTCTCGAATCTCAGCCTCTTGAGTAGTTAAGGTTACAGGCGTGAGCCATCAGTACAAAGCTTAACCTAGGTTTTCTGCCTGGATCTACCTCCAAAACCCTAGGGGAGACTGCAATGATTTTTTCCCCCATTTTCCAAGCCCCAGACAGGGTCTATGTATTTATTCTAGTCTGACCTTGAACTGAATTTCTTTTGCAACACCTGGCACTGGTGGCTCATGCCTGCTGTAATCCTAGCTACTCAGGAGGCCGAGATCTGAGGATCGTGGTTCAAAGCCAGCCCACGCAGGAAAGTCTGTGAGACTGTTATCTCCAATTAACCACCAGAAAACTGGAAGTGACACTGTGACTCAGTGGTAAATCACTTGCCTTGAGCTGAAGAGCTCAGGGATAGCGTCCAGGATCAGAGTTCAAGCCCCATGACCAACCAAAAAACCCAAAAAGATTGTTTTGCCTTAGTCTTTCAATGCTGGGACTATAGGTATGCAACACCACCACTCATTACTCCTCCTATGTCCTTGAAAGTAGAAACCTTAAATCTATTCAGGATGCTGAAATTTGAGGATCTCTAAGCCAGCCTGGGCAGGAAAGTCTGAGACTCTTTCTTTTTTCTTTTTGTCGGTTGTGGGGCTTGAACTCTGGGTCTGGGCGCTGTACCTAGGCAATTCAGCTCAAGGCAAACACTCTACCACTTGAACTACAGAGTCACTTCTGGTTTTCTGGTGGTTTATTGGAGATAAGAGTTTTATGGACTTTCCTGCCTGGGCTGGCTTTGAACCTTGATCCTCAGATCTCAGCCTCCTGAATAGCTAGGATTTCAGGTGTGAGCCACTGGTGCCTGGCTGAGACTCTTCTAACCACCAAAAGCTAGAAGTAGAACTATGGTTCAAGTGGTACATCACTAACCTTGAGTGAAAAAAGCTCAGGGATAGCAGCCAAATCCTAAGTTCAAGCCCCAGGAATGGTGCACACACAGAGAAATAAAAACCTTTTAGTATCACTCTTTTACTGAGAAACTTCCCATAGCCTGCTCTTAGTTAATGCCCCAACATTTTAATCATTTTCAAAAAATGGTTCTTAGTAGCTTCTTGGGCCTCTTTCCACTGGGCAATCCAAGCTAGGAGCATATTTGGGGAACCACTTTTTCCAATAATGCTCCTGTCTTGTGTCTTTACATGCTACTTTTGATTGGAATGAAGTATCTTTCCTATCTCCCTGGGCATGTGGTGAACTATATACTCCTCCCCACCCCTTTAGTGTCAATCCTGGGGCTTGAACTCAGGTGCTATCCCTGAGGTTCTTTTTTTCCCCTTAAGGCTAGTGCCCTACCACTTGAGCCACAGTTCCACTTCTGGTTTTTTGGTGGTTAATAGGAAATGAGACTTAAGGACTTTCCTGTTTGGGCAGGCTCTTTGAACTGCAGTCCTCAGCTCTCAGCTTCCTGAGTAGCTAGGATTATAGGTGTTAGTCACTGGCACCCAACTGGATTGTCTTTTAAATGAATAATTCATGTCTTACTCTTGTCTAATAAGGAATGTCTATTTCTCCATGTCCTCTAAGGAAGGGATAGAATCTTTCTCATCTTTGCAATTATCCCAGTGTTTAGCACAGTGCTTGCCTAGAGGTACCGACCTAAACCACATGGAAGTGTTCCATCCATCATTGAGCTTATCTCTGTGGCCTGCAATCATTAGGGGATCAAAAAATACAAAGTGAATGGCTGACTCCTTTCTTTTCTGCTGTCTGTGAGCTCTCCATCCTGGGCCTACAGGAGCCTAGATGACCCTCCAAGTAGCTTTGTTTCCTCTCTAGCAGTGGCCCCATTTACATTCCCTCCCTAAAATCATTCTCCCAACACCTTCCAGCATCTGCTTTGTCATCCTCCCTCTTTTTTATCCTTCCTGCTTCTCCTCTCCAAATATACCATGTGGTAGCACATGTGCCCTTTTCTCTTACTGGAATCTTTCTCTTCTTACCCCCCTATTACCTGATTAATACACTTTGGGACGATCTTCTCCTCCAAGAAGCCCAGAGAGTATTAACATTCTCTCCTGTTACTACTCTACCTTGTAACTAACTGTTCTGCACATCTGGTATAGAATTGCTCCTGTGTTTAGGCATCCACACTATCTACAAAGGTATCTGACACAAAGCAAGACTGCAATGTCTGCATGCTGAATCAAGACAACACATTCTAATAGGTCAGTAGTATCATCTTTCAGAGATACTCAGTTTTGGAATGGTAACATACTTTCTAGATGTAAAACACTATAGTTCTTTAAGTTTGTCATCTGTAGGAGTGATGAAATACACCTTCTAGGGTCATCACAGAAGTCAGATCAACAAATCCTGAAATCTACCCAGAACAACAGGTGGTACGCAGTGAGCATTACTTAGCCGTAGTGATCACAGCTACCATAGCCTCTGATGTTTGATCTCTTGTTAATTGGAGAAGACAGAGCCCACAGAAGCCCCAACAGCTAAATGCAGAGCTTCCCAGCCCAGAATCCCATACCTCTGACTCTCTGACGCACAAGCCAGAACAGGGAAAGAACCACAGGACACAGGCTTGTTGGGAGTATAAAAATAGGACTTTTTTTCTCTTATCACATCAATTATCAAAGAAAAAAAAACAATATGTAACAAAAATACAAAGCTCTGCTTTTTTTGTTTGTTTTTGTTTTTTGTCTGTTTTTGTTTTTTTTCTAACCCTCACCCAACCTGCCCCAACAGCCCCTTTGCCAGCGATCCCCTGGCTGAAGCCTTGAACTGTCCCTGGGATTTCCTGGGGCTCAGGAGAACCGGTGGTCCAGATCTCTCTGGGGGCTGGCAGAGTAAGAGTAGGCTTTGCCCAATACCAGGCGGTCCCGCAGCAGCTTGAAGAAGGCATAGTAGTTGCTGAAAAGGATCAAGGCCAGGGAGATGGTCTGGTGCCACTTTTCAGAGGACATTAAGGAGTATAGCTGGTAGACAATGACCGCGCCCTCCAGCAGCAGGAGGATGTTGAGGATCCGCAGGGGTTTGCTGAAAAAGAACTACCCAGGAAAGGGTAGGCATGGACCAGAAGGTATGCTCCAGAAAACTGCCTCTTCCATTGGGGGTGGGTAGGCCAGAGGCCAGTGAAGGGGACAAGGACTTGGGGCCCCATGCAGACTTGGGAAGGGAGAAAGACTTTGCAGAGTCTGGCAGGGACTTTGCCACCTCCTTTATCTTTCCTCTGGGCAAAGGTGCTGCTTCTACACAAGGCATTAAGATACTGTTCAACTTCTATCTCCTCCAGAAAGACGTTCCTGAGAGGTCTACTTGTGCTTTCAAACTCTTTTTCTGTACTAAAATCATCTTCTCTATATGTAATCCTTTTAGGTATCACTGGGCCTGAACATATTCAAATATTTTTGTTTCTTGTAAGGCTAGGAATTGAACCTGGGGCCTTAATGTATAAGATAAGTACTATTATATTTATTATATTATTGTATTGTTATATCCACTGCAC